GATTTCCCATGCTACATATGCAACATGACATGTAGCACGTGTAGCATCAAAAAAAACATGCCGACCAGACACACTGTACACGCTGGGACGATGCGAGGAAGCCTAGTAGGGCTAGGGTTTCGAAGGGTTCGGGATTCAGGGCAACCGGGGAACCCACGAGGTTGAAGTGCGCAGCTTGCGGCACTTCTCCAGAGCCTCCGCCCGCGCCTGCAGCTTCTTGCCCACAGCAAGGTAAATGAGGTAAATCGGGTAAACGGGGTAAATGAGCCAGACAGCCTCCAGAGGCTACAATTCACCCCGTGGATGAGCCAGATGAGCATCAGCGGGTAGGCGGATGAGCATCAGCCGGCGGGTGGATGGCAGGCGGGTGGATGAGCATCTGCGAGCATCAGCGGGCGGATGGACGCTCAGTGGGCGGGCGGATGAGCATCAGCAGGGCTGCAGATGAGCATCCGCGGGCGGGCATATCAGCCTTCTCAGCATCAGCATGAGCCCAGTATGCAGCGTCAGCCCCAGATGAGCCCAGCATGAGCTGCCCAAGCATGAGCCCCACATAACCCCAAATGATCAGCCCAGTGAGCTACGCATGAGTTCGGCATGAGCCCAAGCTCTGCCCTTTATGCCCCACCCCCCGCACCACCGCTCTGCCGCTGTTCAACAGCCACCCACGGCCTCTCTCCCATGAGTGTGCCACCAGCGTCGGTCCCTGAGTCACATGGGGCCCAGCCTGAGCTCTGAGTTGCCAACCCTGACACACGCTGCGGATGAAGGTGACCTCGTGAGCGAGTTTTCATCCAGTGGCAGGTGTGCAGTAACCTGCGAGCACCCATCAGGTGGATCAACTTTGATGGAAGCATCTGGCGTTGAAGGAAGGAAAAATTTAAGGCTTGTTTTCCGTGACCAGTCTCTGCTGCAGCCCTCTCCCACGCAAACAAGCTCAGCCGCCAACGCAGCTCGGCCCTCGCAGTCCATGGATATTCGAGCTTGTAGCACACGATACCAGAAAGGGCAAGCAAAGCCAACAAGCGGCTACTGCACCGGGCACCAGCTGCCTGGCGCTGACGTCACGAAGCTGTTGCGACCGCCTCAGTTGTTGGTACGAAGAAGGCAGGTCGATTGATCAACAAGCGCACGGGCCTTTGCCCAGCCGCAGTTCCCTCCACCTGCCAAGACTCGCACTCAGAAAACGCTTGCTCCATGGTGCAGTCTTGCCAAAGCTGAGCACGCAAGCTTGAACACCTTCTTCTTCGACACTGTTCACTTCCCGCCGTTTAAATTCCAGACTTGGGGTGAAACAGTCTAATGATAATGATTTGTAGAACCACGGGCTCCTTCTTGAAACGAGCACGGCAGTGAGAAAGACGTGGACAAATCAGCTTCCGTCTGTAAGAGGCCAGTCAGAAGGATAGAGGGCTGACAAGGAAGCACCCAAAAAATCACGAATCTCACGTGAGCTCGGGTACTCCCAGCCCTTCCTTTTCTTGGGCTGACTGCGTGTGGATGGTGCTTTTCCTCTCATAAGCAAGCCATGCATGCCGGCTGGCATGTCCTTTTTCGGCAAAAGTCTTCCCAGCTTGTCTTGCACGGCCCCCACCACGTATTCGCTCGCTGAATTGTGCTGGTAGATCCAAGCTGCGTCAACAACCGCCGTCTGTGCGTAGTTTGGCGACAGCACTGCGATGTACGGGAATGCATCAGCTGATACGGTCCTCTGCTTCCACCACTCCACCATGTCGGGCAGCGTTTTGCAACGATCCTGCGGCACGTTTCGCAAGAAGACGCCTTTGACCGGCTCAGCATGTTCTGGCAGATGCAAAAGCGGGTGGACATAGCCGTACTTGGCCTGGACGCATCGGAGGCTGAGCGCGACCAGCACGATGGCCTCCCAGTCTTGGCCGCTGTCGCCCCTTTCCGATAGACTGGGGATCTCCTGGATCCACTTGGCAATTTCTGACAATCCCAGGTGAGTGCACATTTTGTCCACATAGGCAAGGATCCACCGAATCTGTCCGCTGGCTGGGCTTTCGGTGAGGCTATCGAAGGCTCGTATTGGAGCCGAGTCTGCCCCCCGCTTACCCGTGAAGAACTCTGAGAGAAAACATTTGGTCAAGGCTTCTATTGGTTGTGCAGAGGCTATTGCCTGGAACCGTGACAACATGTTGAAGCTCTTGCACTGCGTCTTCACAGAGTAGATTAGGGATGGAATTCGTCCGTAGTACACGGCCTCGCAAGGAGTTAAAGCCTCACACTGTTCGTGCATGCGCCTGAGTGCCTGCATGTCATCCGACCTGGGCATCTCTACAACCTCTGCTGTACGACTGCTGCCTGAGCCCTTGCCCAAAAGATGGGACAGGCCCACGCTGGTTGGAACATGAGTGCTGAAAATCAGGCATCGGCCTGGAGGGTCGAGGAATCGCTTCCGCAGGAACCTGCCAACCTCTCTGTAGTCATTTGGCTGGCTTGGATTCAGCAAGACGTTCAGCTCGTCTATGATGAGGACAACATCCTTCTTGTTCTCCAGGTACTCCTTCAAAACGTCCTGCCTGCAGAGAATTCGCTCAGCCTCATCACTGTCCTGGGGCTTGTTTTTAAGCAGCGCAACAGCGATGGCCCTCAGCATCGTTTCCAAGCAGCTTTCGTTCTCGAGCTGCCCGATTAGAGAGTCCCCATTAAAGCTTATGAAAATAGGGTTCTTCGACGCAGCTTTCAGCTCGTCGAAGACGTGCATCAGCACTGTGGTCTTGCCCCCGCGCATGCACCGGGAGAGCACCGTCGGGGGAACTCGCACAGTCGTAGCGTCTGTTTGCTGTGGCAAGTTCGTTTCGACAGCTTCGATGCAGGCGTTCACGCAAGGGACAAGCTGCACGAAGTTGCTCGGTTTGACCATGAACTGAGGCCGCGTACATGCTGCTATGTCGAAGTCTTCGGCAGTCACCTTCTCGGAATGAGTTGATCAAGCAGTTAGGGAAGACAAAATTGCGGGGTAGGCGAGAACAGGCAAGAACCTAGGCCCTCCAAAGCTAAGCCAAACGAAAGAACCTCCTTGGTGCCTCCGAACCCCAGCCCAACTCAAGAGCAAAGCAACGGACAGCGCATGACGGCACGCAAGGCCCCGGCCTCCTTGACCTCCTGCTTCGCCTCCTTGACCTCCTGCTTCGCCTCCTTGACCTTCTGCTCCGCCTCCTTGACCTTCTGCTCCGCCTCCTGGACCTCCTGCTTCGCCTCCTTGACCTTCTGCTCCGCCTCCTTGACCTTCTGCTCCGCCTTCTCGACCTCGTGCTTCCACCTACTTGCCAATGCCGAGTCGTGCTTCTCTGTGGCATTACGCCACTGCTTCTCCGCAAACTCCACCGATTCTCTCGCATTCTCCACCTCCTTTTGGGCTCCTGCCAGCCCCTTCACCGCCAGCTCAAACAGCTGTTGGTACGTGTCCTGTCATGTCCCACAGCAGAGCAAGATTTTCATGCACCACAGATGTCAGCACGCATTCACGACCGGCCTGATTTGAGGCTGCCTTGGCCTGCCAGGGCAACCAACCACTAACAAGAAAACTGAAATGACAACATCTGACAAGCTTTCACGGCCTGATCTGAGGGCACTTCCGCTTCGGCCTGGTGCCAGGCAAAGCTGAAACCAACAACAGCGCAAGACCTCTCTAAATCACCTCAGGCTTCTTGTTGGTGTCGGCGTCCAGGGCGACCTGTCAGCACACACATCAGCGCCAACACAACCAAGCAAGTGAAGCGCAGCGGACCTCAAACGGTCGATGAGCGCGAGCAAACCGAACCAATGCCAAGTTGCACGGGGACTCCAGCCTCATCATCTTTTGCCTCCAAGGCGGCTATCAACTGTGCCTGATCCACTGGCAGCCTCAGCAATCTTCCGTCCAGGTTTGTGAGCCCGAA